GGCACAGGCATCCCTCTTTCGCAAGGGGTCCGGGGGCTGTGGGGCAGCGGGGGCCCGGGGGCCGGCCGGGGCCCCCCCCTGCCCCATGGCGGTGGTTCCCTGGTAGCGGGGTTGGGACCCCCGCCGCCGCACTCAGCACTCGGCTTCGGAGACGGCAAAGAGGGCACCGTCCTGCTTGCCCACCTCGGCCACGGCGGCAGCCAGCTGCGAGAGGTTGCCGTTGGGGAAGTGCCGCGCTTCCCACAGGTTGAGGATCATGGCCGTGGGGCTGGGCTTCGAGGCGAAGAAGCTGAGATGGCTGCGGGGGGGAGAGAGGGACCACGTCAGGGCACAGGGATGGCTCCGCACCCCAGGACCAGCCCCGTGCTGGCCTCACCTCGGGCACCACCCCGCTCCCAGGGTCCCACAGCATTCCAGCATCCATCCGTAGGTGTAGGATGAGTCCAGAAGCTCCCCGTCCCCCATCCACCATGCCACCCTGTCCCCGTCCCCAGCGCTGTCCCCAACCCGGGCTACCTGTCGAGGTTGAGCTTCTGGGCCAGCGTCCTCCAGTCGGCTCCCCGGGTGCCCGGCGGGTCCAGGCTGCTGATGATCTTCTGGCGGATGAGGAAGGGGATCTTGAAGGCACTGGGGCCGACCAGGGCCGGGGCGCCCACCTCGCTGTCGGGGACCAGCCAGTCCGAAAACCTCGTGTCCTAGGGGAGAGCACCGGCAGGGGGTGGGATGTGAGCGGGAGGGGATGCGAGCCCATCCCAGGGTCACCCCCTGGAACCCCCCCCCGAGCCCTGCCCTCACCTTGGCGATGTTGAAGTTGACGGTGAAGCTCTGCCCATCGCCCTCCACCTGCCAGACCCAGATCTTGCAGGCCAGCTCGCAGGTGCTGGGGCTCAGGCGCTCCAGGGTGAAGGTGCAGTGCAGGAAGGGTTGCAGCCCGCTCCAGATGTGGTAGAAAGGGATCTCCTGCGGCGGGGCGATGGGTGGGTGGGTACCTGGTAACTGGCAAGGAGCTTGCTCTTCCAGAGGGAGCTGGGCATGTCGTGGATGGAGAGGCGCAGGTTGTGGTAGCTGTCCTTGAAGTGCAGCACCCGGGGGGCTCCAATCAGCTGCCCCCCCAGCTGCTTCTCCAGCTGGATCACCTCCTGCCAGCACAGGCAGCGGTCGGGCAGGAGCTGCTGCTGCACCCCGGGAGCCCAGCCCTGCCTGCGCAGCCCTCACCCTGGGCTGGGGTGGGGGGGTGTTGCACGGGGACCCCCCCGGTACCTTGAGGACATCCTGGGTGTCGCTGAGGCAGTAGACGCGGATGTTGTACTCGAGCGAGGGGCAGGCGGCCGGTGCGAACAGGACCAGCTTGAGGCGCTTGGAGGCCGCCATGCTGAGGGACTCCCCGACCAGGGCAAAGCGTCCCAGCTGCTCCGTGAAGACGTAGCAAGCCTGCGCTTCCAGCTGGCAGTAGTAAAGCTCCGTGCACGGCTCGGCGCCCAGCTGCAGCACGTCCTGCGACACCCAGGCAGAGATGCACCCCGCACATGGGCATCCCCAACCCCGACCCGCCTCGAGCCCCACGGCGGGCGCTCACCTCCCACGTGCCCTCGCACGACTGCTTCTTCAGTCGGATGCTCCAGTTCTCAGCGCTGGCCTCCACGCAGTGACCCATGGCCAGGATGGCGGGGCGGGTGAGGAGGACCCCAGGGGGTCCACAGCTGACGATGGGGCTCAGCAGCGTCTGGCAGCCAGCCAGGGGCAACCTGGGGCAGCGATGGGGGCAGCTGAGCGGAGCCAGTCCTGCCCCTGGGCAGCCCCATGCCCCGGCAGCCCTGGCCATGGCACCTACCTCACCTCCTCCTGCTTGTGCAGGGTCAGGTAGACCTCGTAGATCTTCCCCCGTGGGATGGCATCGGGCGGGATGAGCAGGCTGATACCTGACCGGGAGGGTGCAGGCGGTGGGGTGAGCCCCACGGGGACCCGCCCGCACGAGGTGATGCTCCGGCACCCCGCGCCCACCCCACCATACCTGTGTTGGGGATCATGAGCCGCCCCCCCAAGAAGTTGAAGGTGCCGTAAGCCATGTTGGTGGTGCCGCGGGGCAGGGAACGAAAGTAGCTCTGGGTGGAGAGCCGGGCCACGAAGTCGGCACCCTCGGCGGCGGGCGAGCTGTGGTGCAGTGTGTGCCGTCCGGCACCCAGCGGGCTCAGCAGGTGCCCGCTGGGCAGCTGGAGCTTGGCGGGGCCATCCTGGCGCGGGCAGAGCGAGCCCTGGTAGGTCATGGTGGTGGTGCTGAGGTCGGGCTGGATGGTGAGCAGGCTGGGGTTGTCTGCGGCACAGAGCAGGGGACCGTGGCACCGAGGCATGGCAGGGATGGGGGGTCCCCACCGGCAACGCGGCGGCACAGCCGGCCCCAGGGGACATGGGGCACGCAGCGCTTGCCCCGTAGCAGCGATCCTATGGGCCGCAGCCACCCCTGGGGTCCAAAGGGCATCAAGCTTCTGCCCCATGACGCAGACCCTTGAGGCACAGCCACCCCTGAGGTCCCCGGAGCACACAGCACCAACCCCAGAGCACAGGCCCTATAGGGACCTGGGACCCTATGGGGCACAAGGCACTGACCCCACAGTCAGGGACCCCTTAAGATACAGCGTCCCTGTCCCATAGGGCACAGAGCCCCCACTCAAGCCCAGGGACCCCCCGGGGCACACAGCTCCTGCCCAAGGTCCCCCCAGGGGCATGGCCGCCCCCCAGTCCCAAAGGACACCGCATCCCAGCACAGCCCCGTCCCCGCAGCCCTTGCTCACCGGCCTTGCTGGGCTTGATGCTGACGGGCTGGAAGCCGGCGGTGAGGATGGAGGAGTCGGCTACGTCGGCGTCCAGGCCCCCCTTCTTGCGGCAGTACACCAGCACCCCCACCAGCAGCAGCAGCACCAGGCACACAGCCACGGCCACCAGCCCCACGTACAGCGCCACGTCCTCTGCGCCGGAGGCGGCTGCGCGGGGCAGGGCGTCAGCACCCACGGGCATCCCCCGCATGCCCGTCCTGATGGGCACCCCCGCCGTCCCCAACGCACTCACCGTGGCTGCAGAGCTCAGAGGTGCAGTTGCGGGTGTCCAGCTCGGGGCCGCGGCAATCCCGGCCCCCGTTGCGTGGCGCCGGCTCCGAGCACTCCCGACTCCGCCAGTGGGTGCACTCGGTCCCGCACACCGACCACTTGCTCCACTCCGACCAGGCGCCGTCCACTGCGGGCACAGCCAGGGGTCAGCGCCCTGCTTCCATCCCCCTCCCCTGCCCCGGGGCCGGCAGAGACGGACACACAGGGGACAAGAGGACGAGACACCTGGGGGGACAGGGACTGCGATGGGTGCAGCGGGGAGTGCAGCATCGGCACGGCGGGGGCGGTGGCGGTGCCCCGGGCAGGGTGGGTACCTGGGCAGAGGGTGGTGCAGGCGGTTTTCTGCACGTTTTGGCCCTCACAGAAAGCCCCCCCGTTGAGGGGCGTGGGGTTGGTGCAGGTCCGGCTCCGCTTCTGCCAACCCCGTCCACAGCTGGTGCTGCAGCCCGACCACTGCGTCCACGTCGACCAGCCGCCGTTCACTGGGTGGAGAGGGACCCATCAGCGCCTCGCCGGGACGGGGGATGTGGGGAGGGACAGGACGGGGAGGGTGACACCGGGGCAGCATGGCAGGGACAGGCATGGCGGGGTCGTACCGTAGACGGTGATGGCGGCGGAGGCGCTGCGGCGACGGGCCACAATGTTTTTGGCCACGCAGGTGTAGTTGGCGGTGTCGGCCAGGCGAGCCTGCCGCAGCACCAGGCTGTGCTCCGGCGTCACGTAGACGTTGGCGTCCAGCGCCGGGTCCACCAGCTCCTCGTTGCGCAGCCACTCCACCTGCGGGGCACAGGGATGTCACCGGGTGCCCGGCTGGGCCACCCCCTCGGGGAGCACCCACGGCGTCCCCATGGGCAAGGGGCGTCCCCAGCCGCATCCTGACCCGCCGGACCGCGGGGGCTCACCTCGGCGGGGGGGATGCCCTCGGGAGGGCGGCATGGCAGCACGATGCCCTGCTCGATGGAGACCTCCCTGGCTGTCGGTTCCTGCTCGAAGTTCTTGCGCAGATCTGGGGAGGTGCAGGGGTGACGGGGGGCCTGGGGGGAGCACCCCGCACCCCCTCCGGGCACCCGCAGGCACTCACAGGCGATGCGCACGAAGGCTTTCTGGCTCTTGGTGGTGCCGGAGGAGCTCCAGGCCACGCACTGGCACCAGTATTCCTCCAGTCCAAAGATCTTCTCCACTTGCTGGCGGGTGACCTCGATGCGCACCTCCATCACCGGCAGCCCTGCCACCGGCGGGTGGCACGTCAACACCGGCACGCTGGGAGTGGGCCCCGCGGCCCCAGCCCCATACAATCCCCCCGCCAAGAGCAGCGCACGTGGCTCCCCGTGACCGGGGCCGGTGCTGTCCCTCCCGCCGGCGCTCACCGGTGCCATGGTCGGTGCTGTGCTGCGTGACATGGTCACCCTGGTGCACCCACTCGCCGTTGCACTTGAAGTAGATCTGGGTGGCGGGGGTGGCGCGGCAGGCCAGGCTCACCGCCTTGTTCTTCACGATGTAGACGTCCTCCGGCTCCAGCTGGAAGTGCGGCAGGAGGTCTGGGGACGCGCCGGACACCGGGTTGGCCACGGTCGCGCTTTGCTGAGCACCTGTGGGGAGACAGGGGCTCGGCCACCTCCGGCGTGCCTGGGCTGGGCGATCGCCCGGCACAGGGAGGCCCTGTGCCAGTGGCCCCATGCCCCGCCGCCGCCCCACGCTGCGATGTGGCAGCCCCCTCCCGGCCCCGCCATCTATCAGGGAGAGCAGCCGCGCGGTGGCTGCGCCCGCTGAACCCGCGCCGATCCCTCATGTCTGCACTTAGCGCTAATGAAAAGGAAATGTAGTGTGACCAACAAGGGCCATCGCTCACGCCTCCCGGGGCGCCCGCCGCCCCCCCTCCCCAGCACGCTGCGAGGCGCCGGCCGGGGGCCGCATCCTGCTCTGCCGCGCCCTGGGGTGGCACAGGGATGCAGGGCGAGCGGTGGGGTGTGCGCCCCGTGCCCTGGTGACACGGCAGGGTGGCACAGCAATGGGCCCCGTCCTGTGCCGCTGGCACCTACCTCGGAGCGGGCACAGGCGCGGCACACGGGGGCTGGCTGTCCCCAGCGTCCCCAGGGTGGCTCGGGTGGCTCAGGGTTGCACACACGTCCCTTGGGGGGGTCTGGCATCCCCCAGCTTTGCTTGGGGACCTCGGGTGCCACGCACCAGGGCAGGGTTCCCACAGGGACTGCAGTGCTGGGGACATGGCATGTGGGACACAGTGCCTGCGTCCCCCAGCCCGGACACGGCCAGGTGCCCCCGCTCCCCCCGCGCCGCCGGCACCCACTGCGGAAAGAGTTAATAAACCAGGGCCCTAAATAAGCATTTGATTAACAAACGATAAAATAGCGATTGTGTCACTGAATGAAGCTGTAATTGCTGCTGCTAATTGGCTGGTTAGGATTTAATAAGCAATTAAATGGGATGGAATGCGCAGTAATTAAGTGCCTGCGTTTGGCAACCGCCCGCCGCCCCCCACGCACCCGCGGGACCCCCGTTGCCCATGCCCACCCCGGCCAGCTCCCGCCTGGCACAGCCGCCTGCGCAATGGGGATGGGGACACGGGGACACGGGAGTCCCTCAGGCCCTGGCTGAGTCCCTCGGGGGGCTTCGGGCCCCGCTGCTCCCCCCAGCTGGATCAGGCCCCTCCGAGCCGGGGAGCGGGTGCCGAGTGAGCCCGCCGCGATGCCCGCCGGGGCGGGCAAGGTGCGGCAGGGATATTAC